TATTGAGACAAGACCGCGTGATCACAATTCTAGAATAAGCGACGAACCCACAAGTAACAGAATCACGGCCCGGATTACGCAAATTTGGCCCGATTCGAGGCACGTATGGACTGTTACACAGCAAAAGAGGTTTTGTGAAAATTAACAAAACCGCTAGGTGTTTGGAGTTGTAATACGTGCGACACATTATTTCAACTATTTGTGTGAAAAATTTTCGCCGACGTAGTTAAATTGTTGTTAGTGGAATTAACACTTTATGGTGTTAAACAGGTAACAAATTAGCATTATTTTTATGGTATCTTAGTGAATATGCAAAGCAAATCAGTAAGATTACGATAAATTTACGTAAAACTGGCAAATGTAAAAACATTAATAAAACGTATCTTACTATGAACTATCGGTGCTATTTTTTTTTGAGAGATGAGTAATACGCAACATTAAAAGTAACGGTTGAAAACAAATAAAGTGGCGTTTAAAAATATGCATTTTAAATAAATTTTAGTGGCTAACTTTTTCAAATTAGTCATGGATGGCAAAAAATGTGTTTACTTTGTTCCCAAACTTCGGTCTTCCAGTATCAAAAAAGTGAGACCGCTTTCAATAATAATAATTCATAATTAGATGAAGTATTCCGTACGACAGAAAACAATTCGAGAATAATTAATAAATAAATTTCTTAATAACAACAACTTAAGTCGTTAACATCATAAATAAATCGATGGACGTGTCTAAAATCATATTTTGGTTTCTCAAGGATGACTTCTGAACCACATTTGTTTTTTTTTCGTAACACAGATAATTAAAACACAAACCAATAGGTACTCTTTCACATTCTTTCTTAAAATCTTGTTTATTTTATAATTTAGAAAACAAATATGGAAAATGTCTAGGTGTTACTTGCGCTGGTACCTATTATGGCGTCATCGTGTCGATCATGTTATTGCTGAAATCGTTACGTAATCATCTTTCATTAAATATTTTTCTATCAACATATTGCGTATATGTTGACATAAAACTGATGAACGCCGCGTTAGTATAAAGCCTGCTAAAGGGTTGCTCTAAATTCAGTATCGCGTTGTTAGAATTTTTGCAATCTTCAATTTTCTGAAGATTGTAAGTATATTTTTCCAAATTACTCTTTATTTCACAAAAATATAGAATACTAGAAGAGGGAAAATTCTGCCCCCATTTTAAAAATTGTGTTGAAAATTTTTGAAAAAATTGCAGCAGTTATTGATAATTTTAAAAATTGTCTATTACGTCCACTTTTATCTAATTCTATCCGATCTTAGAAAAAAAAAGGGTACTAAAAATATCCCTCGCTATCTCTCCTTAGTTAATTTTATCTCAACGAGTTTTGATTATAAATGAAACGTAAATTACCAACAATAAAATAAAAAGTAACTGAGTATTTTTCAGAAAAATTAATCCTGTACAAATATACCTATACTCAAAATAGTGTTTTCTCTCATATTAGTAGAAGTAGATGTACAGGGTGAGTCAGCCAAAATGGAGAATAATAGTCCGCATGCATACGTAATTTCACTCCTTTAAACAGAGCAACAGAAAAAAGTATATTGCAGAAATACCATTCATTTTTTTTTTTATTTTTCATAGTTTGAATTTTTTTTATTTCAAAAAAATGTAAAAAAAATAGCTTTATTATCTTCACTATTTAATATTCGTAAATTATTGCAGTTTTATTAAACAAAATAGTAAAAATTTTATTAATATGTACCTAATTACATTTTAGGGTTATACGTAGCATAGATATTTCATTACAAACAAACATTTTTTTAGGTAATAGTTATTTGCAATAAATGTGTTCCATATTTTCTAAAAAGTCTGTAGTTGCATATATTTGTGCTAAAATTTATAAAAAAATATTATCGTTGAACGATGTTTATTTAAACAAAAATAAAAAGTCACGCACTTGCGACCATGTTCTTAAAAAGAAAAAGTGTCAAATCTAGCATTAAATTGTAAAATCTTGTAACCACATTAAATATCTGATAATAACCATTAACTCCGAAATCTCCATCTCGATAATCTCTTCACATATTTACATATCCAACCTGATGAGAGAAACCCAATCCAACTTTCTTCACCAATATTTAACTACTTTTACCTCGAATTCACGATTAGAAGGTAAACAAAAAGTATGACTCACAAATTAAAGGTGCAATGACCGTGATGCCTAATTGGTAGAAAAACTGGGCTAACTAAATTTTTATACTTATTTAATTCAGCGACATTTTTCTACAACTGCCGAAAATCTAGATCAGAGTGCATCATTCCACAAAAATTTTCACTTTTTCCTTCTATCTCGAAAAATTACCATAAACATCTCCAGCAAGTCACTATTTCGCAATGACAATAATTGTTCTCTTGCACGGAAGCCAACTTCCGTAATAATCAACAATTATAAAAATTCCTTGACCATTCAAGATGTTCATCGTGATTCATTGTTTTGTAATAGGCGAGATCCGGAGATACGCGTCTCGCAAAGTCCTGTCTTTACACAGGTATATATTTAAATTTTTACCGTCTCTTTTCTAAATTTTACATTTTTGAAACGTAGCCACCCGATTTTAACCTAAAGCTATATATCAGAAAGATATGGTGTCTTTTCAAAAAATAGAAAGTCTTAATATTGGCACCAATAACAAGTTTTTGAATTTGTTAATATATGCTATCTCGCTAATCGTTGTCATTATTACTTTCTTTCGATACGTAAATGTAAAAAAGCCATTAACAGCATGCTATTATTATTAGAGGAAGCAAAAGCCCTGCAAGGGCTCCAATTCTAAACATTCTAGTTATTATCGTAGGAGTATTATACTTTTGATTGTTTAAAATTAATTTGAGGCTTGAGAACTTTAGCTTTAATGTACCCAAAATTGACGTCAAGTTATTAAAATCCTAAAAATTCATAATTGCATCCCGACTCCTTGTAAATGTATTAATTGTGCTCATAATATTACAATTTTACAAATATGTACCTACACATATTTCTAAGTAATACTAATTATTATACTGTTATTACATACACACTTTAATTTTGCCATAGAAACTTTTTAATAATTTATTAGAGTAGTTAAGAATAAAATGATCAAATGATGTACCTCCACTTCAAAATTTTGGAAAAATCAATTCTACATTACTATGAATAAAATCTTTTTTTTATAATTTCAGTCGTTCGAATCATTTTTTTAATTATTATAGTTTATAAAATATTTTATACAATTTCGAATAAATTTGACGTTTCCTAGTCAAAAATCTATATGTACATATGAAAACTTTTAAAGTATTTTTGAAGTAACCAATGCTTCAACAAACCGAAAAATTTGGTAGTAGTGTGTGATGTGTGACGTGTCTTGTAACACTTCAAAGAGATTTTAAACTTTTTGTTGGCAAAATTTCAAAAAGGCTGCGAACTGTACTCAATTTTAAGTAATATTTTAAAATTTTCGAAAATTTCGATTCCTATTTATTTTTAAAGTGCGTGTTATGACATCTTCAACAGCCAAAAGTTGTTCTATTTTTTTTATTTTGTAGAGTTGCTATTTAATAAAAATCGATAACGTCATAATTCTCAAAAATGCGAGTTTAAAGTTTTTTTTTGTTATATTTTTATTATAACTTGTAAAGTGCTTATAATATATTTTATTAGATGGTTGAAAGAAGAATATTTTTTAAACTTTTATTTATTAATTTATTTATTTATTTATTTATTTATTTATTTATTTATGTTTTGGTGTTCCTGTATCTTCAAGCTGCCAGGATAGGATATAAAAAGCTATTGTAATAATAAGATAACAAGAATAAAATTATTACAAATATAACTCTAATCATAAGAATGATGAAATCTATAATTAATACACTACTGCAATTTAGAAAATGCCTTAAATACTTTTTTTATCAAATTTTCTTAATTGGAACAACGTAAAAAAATATTATCTGTCACTTGATATTAAGTGCTTTGAGCTAATTCAAAAAATAGTAATAACCAAAAATCTAGCTCAGTTAGCTGCGCAAAAAAAAACTATTATGATGATTTTTCATCAAGCGTTTATAAAATAATTCACTCAAGTCAAATACTAATTGCTGGAAGAAATGGAATCCAACTAAATATAAATATAACGATAGTTGTTTATGTAATAACCAATAAAATATTCAAATTGTAGAAACAAGTAAAATGTACAGCTGTCTGTTCTAATTAACGAGAATAAGAAAACTATTTCAAACATTGAATTCGTTGTTAGAAAAATATATTTAGTGGAACCCATTTGGATTTCAAAATTATTTCACAATTTTTTACAATTGTATACAACCATAAAATTTAACAAAATAAAAAACTAACAAATGATTTAAAAATACAATGTGAAGGGTGGCTCTAGAATTTCTTTTATTAATTATTTTGTTGCCTTGTTGTCAGAGTGAAGTACATTTTTTTGACATTTCAAAGTCACCCTTGATACCAGACTTATTTATAAGAACATTGGATAATTTAATTAATAATGACCTTATAATTTGATTGATAATCTATATTTGACATACAAATTCAACCATAAATAATATCTTACCTTATAATACTTTTTCAATTTTAACGTCACACGAAAAAAAAAACATGCCAAATCTCTGAATATAAAAACCTAGTTTTAAAATTGCCTATAGCTTTGGAAAATGTCAGTATTTCTCAGAGTATAATATTACTTCAAAGCAAAAACTTCAATTCCAATGCCTACTTTTTTTTAAGTTTAAGAATATATTAGGGGCAATCCTGTAAGAATTTGTTAAATTTAAAGGGAAATCTGATTGGTTGTTTATTTTTTAACAACCTTTAAATTTTAACAGGTCTGATTCAAAATTGCCCCTACTGCCACCCATTTCCATTTTTTTTAAGTCGAAAATCCAGTTTACTTTAAAAATAGTCCAACGAGAGCCTTAACAAAAATATCAAAATCTTCCAAAAACTGTTAAGTCACGTCAAAACTCACCTCAAACTTATCCAACCCAGCAAACATAATCCATAACGTCACACACACCACCCTCACATCACGCCTTCACCCTCCGTCACTACCATGTACCATGTACCAACAGAAAAACAAGGTGGAATCGCAAGCAACGGTCACACGGAGCGCACTGTCGCGTACCAAATCGATCAAAACACCTGTTGCTACTAAAAGTGGGAACCAACAAGTAGGCTGTGCACCACCACGAGGCAGGTGAATGGTAGGTAGTACCCGGACGTGATGGTAGTGTCGGGCAGTCTCGCATCGCCCGTGGATCCATACGCACGTATGTGGCATGTGGATGGATATGGGTCTGCAGGGGCAAGGTCAAGGTTCGATTTCGGGCTGGAAGAACCTTGGTGGTTGTTGATGGTTGCTGGATATGTCATGGTCGACGGGAGGCGATGGGCATCATGGTCGGACGGCTTGTTAACGGCTGATGACTCAATTCGGAGGAAAGGTTGAGGAAGAAGGTTGAATAATGAATGAATGCCGGGAAAATGTCGAGATTTGTGATTTTTGTCACGTTTGGAGTTCTTGGGTCAATTTAAATTAGATGTAACCTCGATGGAACTAAAAAGGCGTTAACTGCAGTGTGATGATGCGACTAGGCAGTGAACTCATTAAATTTGGCTTCTTTTGAGAGATGTTTTTGCTGACATATTTAGTATCGTCTTTGGAAGGTTAATTCTTTTTTTAATATTGCTTTCAAGGGCACCTTGTGCTTAAAAGGTTTCATTTCTTGTGTAATATTTGATTGAGATGAGTATGATGGATAATTGCTTTCATTAATCAGGTTATGATGGACAACAGCTATAGACCTTTGAGACGATAAGTTTAACACTACTGCCGGAACATTGCCTCAAAGTCAACATTACTACCATGTTGTCGTAAAAATCGACTCGTATTTCCAAGCAAGCCAGGCCAACTGACAGTATATAGGGTTATTCAAATTATTATAGGTTATGATATGATATATGAGAATTTTTTATATTTTGAATTTAAAAACAGTTTTAAAATAGTGACGGACAAAATTTTGTATGACATTCGTGAAGAAGAAATGTTTGTCCATTCCGGGAAATAGTGGAGATGGCAAGATGCTTCGTGGGTAGAATTTAAAATCTTAAGTTTTAATATTAAACATAAACATAATTAGCATTTTATACGTTTTTACTTCTTTAAATTAATTTTTCTTTGGGTTAATTTTAAATAGAATATATAAAAGGGATTTCAACAAGAGAAACCAACCATACGACGAATTCTAAAACACTTTTCAGTTATATCCTTAAAATACTAATTCATTTAATAATGTGTAATGTCTTTTTCATTAACGTGTATTTAATAAAAAACTACTTATTTCATCAAATGACTTAACTCTTGCAATTTGACTTTCTCTACTTATATTTTCTCCTGATAATTCTTTTAACAACATATAACAATATTAGGAGGCATATTTCGCATGTTACGAGCTTAATAAAAAAAGTCGTTATTTATAACTGGTAAAATGTCCAATTTCTTTTTTTTTTCTGTTTAGTGGGATGGATATAGATTATTTTTATTTTTATCATTTTTTTGAAAGAAAAACCAAATTTGTAGCTACATTTAAAAAAAAACCAAAGGAAGAAATAAAGTCAGTCCTCTAATATTTTATTATCTATTAACACATTTTTTTTAATTATTATTATTAATTCAACACCTCAATCTAATTTTAAAATTAATTTTATTTACATCTATTTATCATCCTGACACATACGAAACATAAAATTCATAACGTGGTACATTGAAAAAAAAAAAGATATTGAACTTATTAATACAAACTTCATTTTTTCTAATGAAATTAGTTATGTTTGCTAGATTCTTTAGAAAAACTACAGATGCAGATATATTCCGAAACGTTACTTGATGGCAACTCTCAAACATTTAATTATTTAACTTATTTATACAGGATGATGAATTCAATGCTATCAGTGGTCGCCTGAGAACTTGTTTGATCTACAGACCAGAGCGCACTCAGGCCAATATCGACTCTAAGCGATTTATCTATTAGTAGGCTTCTGTTAGAGCTGATCTGATACACATCCACTACAAAGAACTAACCTTTTTCGACCATCTGGTCGGACTTGACGACAAATAAGTCAATAAAATTCTTGAAAATGTTAACGATTTAATACATAATGTTCTCGAATGACAAAATTTACATTTCAAATTGTATTATCAAATGGTAAAACGCTCACCAAAATTTGTCACCAACAATGAAATAACGTAATCTCCAAATTTTACAATAGTAGTTGTAATTTAATTTTATATCCTCCGTTTACGGTTTATGAATCCGAATTGAGTTTTTACTTTAGACGTCAAGATTTTTGGAAAAAAAATTCAACAACATTTTCCAATTTTTACGTACTATTATTGGAAGCATGTTAAATTGTTAGTCAAGATTTATCCGTTGATGCCCCCCCAGAGTATATGTTGTCATCTTACAATTTTGTCGAATAAATGTTACTTAAATGTTAAAAAGTAACAGTCCTAAACTTGTGGTTTATAATAAATACTATACTCGATTGAGATTTTTCGGCTTTTCACTTTGTCGATTTTTCAACTTTTAATATTTCAATTTTTCAATATTTCAATTTTGGACTTTTTCAATTTTTCCATTCTTAAAATTTTCGATTCCTCGATTTTTTCATTTTTCGATTTCTCAATTTTCCGATATTTCAAGATACGACTTCTCAATTTTTGTCCTCTTCAATTTTACGATATCTAAATACATATTTCGATTTTCCAGTTTTTCAAATTTTGAAGTTTTTAAAATTTCAACTTTCCGATTTCTGAAGTAACCTTTTTTTTTATTTTCTTATTTCTCGACATCCTAGAGTTTCGATTTTTCACTTCTTCAATTCTTCAAGTTTCCAATTTTTTAATTTCTCAATTTTTTTGGATATTTCGCCAGTTGTGGAATTTTTGAATAATTCGTTTTTCCAACTTTTCGATTTTTGGTCTCTTGGATTTTTTTATTTCTCGATTTTTTGCTTTCTGGGTTTTCAGTTTTTGGTTAAACTTTAGAATTTTCAATTTTTCGACTATTTTATACTGCGATTTCTGAATTTTTCTACTTTTCGATGTTTTACTTTTTCAATTTTTAAAATTCTAGATTTTTCGATTTCTCGAGTTTTCAGTTCTTCTATATTTCACTTTTTCACTTTTCCGAATTTTTAAATTTCCGATTTTCCAATTTTTTGATTTCTCGATTTATCAAATCCAGATGTTTCGATGTTTTGATTATTCAATTTCTCGATTCATCAATTTTTCAATTATTAACTTTTCTTTCGATTTTTCAATTTTTCAGTTTTTTAAATTCTGAAGTTTCAGTTTCTCAATTTATCGATTTTTTAGTTTTTCGATTTTTAAATTTTAGATTTTCGAATTTTTATTTTTTGATTTTTTGATGTTTGGATTTCTCGATTTTTCAATTTTGCGATATTTTAATTGTTTAATGTTTTAAATTTTAGATTTTTCGATTTCTGGATTTTTTGATTGTTCAGTTTTTTAGTAGTTCTGATTTTCAATTTTTAAAATTTTGAAGTTGCTAAATTTTCAGTTTTCCGATTTCTCAATTAATCTATTCTTGATTTTCATATTCCTCGACTAGTCCAAGTTTCGATTTTTCAGTTCTTCAATTCTTCGATTTTTCGACTTTGTTTTTTTGGTTTTTCGATTTCTCAATTTTTCAGTTTTTTAATTTCTTAATTTTTGGAAATTTCTTTTAGTTTTTTTTTTCAATATTTCGTTTCTTCGACTTTTCGATCTTTCGACTTCTGGATTTTTCAATTTCGTTTTTTAAATTTTAGATTTTTCGATTTATCGAGTTTTCAGTTCTTCTATATTTTAATTTTTCGATTTTTCAATTTTTTGAGATCTCGATTTAGCGATATTCGCATGTTTCGTTGTTTTGATTATTCAATCTCTCGATTTATAAATTTTTCCATTTTTAACTTTTCGATTTTGGCCTATTTCGGTTCCTCAATTTTTCAATCTTTCGACTTCTCGACTTTTCAATTCCTCGATTTCTCGTTCTTTTGATTTTTTGATTTCTCGATATCTCAGTTTTTCGATTTTTTACTTTCCGGCTTTTCGATTTTTAAATTATCCCACTTATCAATTTTCTAATTTTTTTAATTGTCGAGTTTTGATTTCCCGATGTGTTGATTTTTCAGTTTTTGTATTTTAAAACTTTAGATTTTGGGATTCTTTCTGATTTTTATATTTTAGAATATTTCAATGTTTTCAATTTTAGGTTTTTCGACTTTTCGATTTTCAAATTCTTCAATATTTTTTAGTTTTTCAAATTTTGACGTTTCTGAATTTTCAGTTTTCCGAATTCTCAATAATTAATCATTTTTTTAATTTTCCCATTTCTCGACTTCCCAAAGTTTCGATCTTTCAGTTCTTCAATTTTTCGATTTTTCGGGGTTTAGATTTTTCAATTTCTCGACTTTTTAAGTTTGCGATTTTTCCTTTTTGTCATAAAGAATTTATATTTGTAGAAATACATAGATTGTTCTATTTAAAAAAAATACAACTTTAGTACACAATCTCGTCTAATAAAAAATTATTGTAAATTGTAGCCCTAAATGCAATCTATCAAACTTCTTCAAAAAAGTTTTTCATTGAGCCTTGACAAATGCCTAATCTTTCTTCACCGAACTATTAGAACATGCTGCACACATATTTTAAACATAAAATACATATATAAAAGATTTTCACCCGATGTTATCCGTTGTTTGAAGGCTGTAAATACTACGACACTACACTTTTTACTATACTTTAATCTGAGCCATAAGGTCGAGAAGTGATTATAACAAGATAAATTTTGATTAATATTTGAGTCTGAGCCACAAGACGCAATGAAAATTCTTTCACTGTGTCTTGTGGTAAGCCGTTTTCGAAATAATTCCTATTAATAAAATAGATTGTCCAAACAGTTTTAGAAAACAGGCGTTATGAAGAAACTATATGTATAGAAACGTCAATTCTGAGCATTGCAAATAAGTTTGACTTTACAAAATTTTCAGACGGCCTAATCAAATTTTTGGACGCGATGAACACAGAAATCCTACAATTTGTCAGCTGTTTCTAAATTCAATAATTTTTATGTGTACCATAATTAGAGATTAGAGCG